AGCATCAGGGCCAACTGGGAGCCCATTAGAAGGGCAGAAACTCAGGCGCCACTGCAGACTTGCTTAATCAATCAGCACACGCTTTTTAATGGTTCCCAGGTGATTCCAAGTTTACGACGCGCTGCCTACTTCATTTCCACGCATGCTGGGGTGATTCTGTTCTCAGTTTTTCTACCTGCGATGCTCTGTATCCTGGGTGAATTGCACTTGCTTTGCATACTCAGATGGGCAGGTCCAATGATTGATAAAAAGCATACCCTCCCCACCAGCCACCCACAGGCACGAAATAATTTTTCATGGAAATAAAGCATGCCAAAAATCTAGCATCACATTATTTTCCCCCTAGTAGCTATTGTTTACTACAATCTTCAGTGAAGATCATCCAGGTTGCACGTTACATATCCTTCCTACCCAAGTGGTAACACCAAACCCTTCTCTTCCAAACAAACAAACAAACAAACAGACGCCTTCCAGAACGTAATCCAGTGAGAGCAGTGTTATTTGGGGGATGACCTTGAATCCTCTCAATTAATGAGAAGAAGCAAACTCTCTGTAAACTACACGACTTTATTATTTTTTAGAACAGCTCGGGTTTGTGCCTGATGCGGTGTATTTCAGGCGCATTATCTGGCTCAGTCCTTGCCCCAGCCCCGTGAGGTTGGCGCTACACCATCCCCACCTGCAGATGAGGAAACCGAATCCCAGAGGGGGCGGTGACTTGCCCAAGGCCAGAAGGTACTTGGACCACTCTTGTGATAACCGTGAGTTCAGAGTAGCTGAGAAGAAATCCAGAGGGGAAAGAATGTCTCCTTCAGACAGAGTTTCTTAACCTGGGGTCCATGAGCAGAATTCAGGGGTTTTGTGAATCTTGGATGGGGGGAAAAAAATCGATCTGTTTTTTTCCTAAATCCATCATTGGAATGTAGCAGTTTTCAATTATTAATGTAGCCAAAAAAAAAAAAAACCACAGGAATATTAGCAATATCTGTGACTTTACCAAAAGACACCCAGATGTTTTTATCTGAATGTTTTTACAGGTGCTATTGATGTATTGAAACACTGTTCATGGTTACTCTAAAACTAAATTATTTTTAGACTGACTGCTGGGTCTTATTTGATGGAGCAAATAAATAAATTACTATGTCACAGTTTTTATGTTTTGATGAGGGCCTTCAACATATTTGATCTCCTTAACAATCTATGTATTTTGTATCATGTATTAGAAATGATATTCTGAGACGCAATCCATAGTCAAGGTATTAAAAAAAAAAAAAAGAGGTGAAGAAACTTTAAGGCAGCTAACTTTCCCTGGTAGCGCTGCTCTAAATAGGATTTCACTGATCTGCAAACAGCCCCGCCCCGCCATTACTTGCTGTAGACCCATCCGAGTTCCTGGCCAATTTGAGTTTCCTCTGAATTCTAGGCTTTGCTGCAGTCGGTGGGATGGAAGGCCTGAAGGAGAAATACTTTCTGGCCCTGGCTAGCAACCGGACAGGGAACAACAGCTGCGGACTGCCCCGGGAAGATGCCTTCCATATTTTCCGAGACCCACTGACGTCTGATCTCCCGTGGCCCGGAATCCTGTTTGGAATGTCCATCCCGTCCCTGTGGTACTGGTGCACGGATCAGGTACAGTGCAGCAGGCTGAGCAAGCCAGCCTCCAGGATGCTTCCTTCCTGGGGGTGTCTGGGTTTTCTTTTCTCCCTTAATCTATTTTCAAATTTGCATTTCTCCCCGACCATCCTCAGTAACTCCTTTCTCTCTAAAGCTCTACACGTTATCTTACTTCCTGCTCTTCTCGGGTCCTGGCAAATCCAAAGCTGCTGGTATTTGCAAAGAGGGAAAGCTTGATACATCCTGCTGGCTGCCTGGAAAGATTCAGTAAGCAAAAGAGATTGCTTACTTTAAATGGAGGTTAAAACTGGTATCGGTATTTGCGCCACAAATACGCACTAGGTGTCCTCTAGCACTGGCCACGTGGGAATCATGAGTAAACACATCAGGCAGGGCTCTCCCTTTTGCGGAGGTCACCTTCTGATGGGGGTAGACAGACAATAAATAAGTAAATTATGTGGAACGTTAAAAGGTGATAACTTATTTGAAAAAGAAAAGCAAACCGGGGCGGCAAGGGAAGGGAGATTGAGACTGTGGGAGGGCAATTTAAAGTAGGGTGGTCAGGGGAGGTGTGATTGAGAAGTGACTTTTGAACAAAGGCTTCGAAGGAGGAGAGTGAGGGGGCTCTGGTAATTGTTGGAGGAAGAGAGTTTTGGGCAGAGGGACCAGTCAATGCAAAGCTCTTAAAGCAAATATGTAACTGGTGTGAAAAAAGAAATTAGAAAAGCAAAAGGCACAACGATGTGTTAAAAGGTGCGGGGGAGGCGGTGGGATAGAATCCATATTTGCATTTGCTTGTATGTGCAGAAGGCAACTCCGGATGGATGTATATAAAAGCAATAAGAGCGGTTGCCCTGGGCAGGGAGGCGGACAGATGTGCCAGGATGGATGGGAGCTGTTTCACCCTCACAGCTGTTTATACTTTCCCAGGTTTCAAGCCTCGTGAATGTGTTACCTGTTGACGTGGTTTCTTCTGTTGCATCAAAGATCAGAAGTCAGCGTGCCATTTTGGAGGTTATTAATTGCATAGTCAGGGCTATTGAGAGTTTAACTGTAGTAATGATCATGGAGCTGAACCACTGCATTGATGTAGGAGACACTGCACAGAATGAATTCCAGGTCTCCCCACAGGTCAGAACTCCTCCCAGATGGGTGCTATATGTAGGGGCTGCCCCTTTAAGGGAGCGAACCTCTTCCCACCCTTAGCAAATCTTGGGCAATAGAGACCCTGGGAGACAATTCACCTGAGTTCACCTGAGGCTAACAGTGTGAGTTTTAACCTTAACAAGCCTGGAATCAAGTTCAGGTGGCATAGCCTTGGGACACTAACATCTCTGAACCACTGTTTCCTTGTCTGTTAAGGGGGGCGGGGTGTTACTAAGAATTACAAAAGACTGCAGCAGGAGGAATCTGGTCACAGTCCTTTTGTTGCAGGGACATTTAATAAATCATTAGAAACATTTTTGCTATGGTTTGCATTACTGTTCTTGACACAGCTCACCGGCTTATATTTATTAATCTGTGCAGATGTTTCCTTGAGATACCTCAAACCCTCACTAGCTGGGATTCCAGCGTGCACCCCAAAAGCCCACCCCTAACTCACCCCTCATCGTTCAAGAGCCCGGGGACCTATTCCAGGATTATTCAGTCTTCTTCCAAATGCCAGGCAGGGCGAGAGGGCCCAGAAACCCAAGCCCTCCCCTCCCTGGGCCCCGTGTACTTTTTTTTTTTTGAGTGCTTTGTATGTTTTATTTTATTATTGTTTTTTAAGTTGAACTATAGTCAGTTTAAAATGTTATGTTAATTTCTAGTGTACAGCATAGTGATTCAGTTATATATGTATATGTATTCCTTTTCATATTCTTTCTTATTATAGGCTATTACAAGGTATTGAATATAGTTCCCTATGCTATGCAGTAGGACATTGCTGTTTTTCTATTTTATATATAGTAGTTAGTATCTGCAAATACCGAATTCTCAACTTATCCCTCCCTTCCTTTCCTCTTTGGTAACCACAAGTTTGTTTTCTATGTTTATGAGTCTATTTCTGTTTTGTAAATAAGTTCATTTGTGTCATTTTTTTTAGACTCCACATATAAGTGATATCATATGGTATTTTTCTTTCTCTTTCTGACTGACTTCACTGAGTGTGACAATCTCCAGGTCCATCCAGATTGCTGCAAATGGCATTATTTTGTTCTTTTTTATGGCTGAGTAGTATTCCATTGTATAAATATACCACATCTTCTTTATCCAGTCATCTGGCAATGGGCATTTAGGTTGCTTCCATGTCTTGGCTATTGTAAATAGTGCTGCTATGAACATTGGGGTGCAGGTATCTTTTTGAATTAGAGCTTCCTCTGGATATATGTCCCGGAGTGGGATTGTTGGATCATAAGGTAAGTCTATTTTTAGTTTTTAAAGGAATCTGGTCTTATTGCTGCTGAGCTGGATTCTGTAGTGTCCAGAGACAGTTGGTTCACTGCACTGGTGCCGCCCTAAGAGAGGCACATCTTCGCCAGCTCAATTTCAGAGCAGGAGAAAGGCAAAGCTGTGTTCATTGTTCACTGACTCAGAGCATGTTCCACATCTTCCTGGGCAGAGACAGAAAAGGCAAATTACAACTGGTAATAGTAATGACACTTAAACATTTACTGATGCCAGACAATTTACCAGTAACTGGTCAAAGCATTTCTGTTGTATTTACTCAGTTCACTTTTATAACATCCCACTGGGCCTGGAGGTTGGCGTACAAGGTGACACCCTCCTCCCAGGGCTTTGGGGTTTTGAGCCACATAACTCTCTTAAAACTTAGCTGCCTCTTCAATTACAAATGGAGGCTCTGCTTCATGGGAATAAAAGCCAGGAGTCTTTTCAATCACAGCTTTGGATCTCCAATGAAAAGGGCTTGGTTTTCCAAAGCTATCAACTCTTCCTCTCTGCTTCCAGATGGGCTGTTGGCACCTTAATGAAGTAATGAAAAATGCTCCATAGACACCAGCATCCTTACAGTTACTGACCACATTCTTAAGTGTTCCAGAAAGCTCAATAGGTGTATGTTTGGACTCCTGAGAAATGACAGATAACAAACCAATTTCTAGATGAGGACATCTAACTTGCCAGTTCTGGATAGAAGGATTCTCCCTGCTCCCCCATCTTTCCTCAGATAAGCCTGTTCCACATTTTAGTGTCTTTTACTTACTGCATCCAAACAAATAAGAATAACTTGTACAGGTGAGGGTACACTTGGCTGCAAGCAGCAGAAAAAAAGTCAAGTCTAAAACTAGCTTAGGGAAAGGTGGAGAATTTATTAGTTCTGGAACACAGACTGCAGGAAGTTGAACTAGCTTTCAGAAACTTCTGGAACTTCTATTCTTCTCCATCGTCTTTCTTTCTTACCTAAGGACCTCACTGTCTCCCACCACAGACCAACTGCCGAGAGAATGACAGCTCCCTAAGTCCCAAATCCAAAAACCCTGTGGAAGGGCTCTGATTGGCCTAGCTTGGGTCAGGTGCCTACCCCTGGATCAGGTAGCTGTGCCCAAGATGACAGAGTAGCCATGTGGAGAGGGGGTGAGTTTCAAAAGAAGGGGCAAGACACTCTAGGAAGTCTATGCCATCAATGAACACTATTAAAAATAAATGGAAAGAGTTCCAACTTTGTCCTGCTCACCAAAGCATCACATGGTAATGATACGACATTTACTCCTGCTTGCCACAATTCACTGAACTAGCTCAAAAGGCACTGGTAACTGACGAAGACCTCTATAACTTCTCCAGATGCTTCAAGACCCAAAGCCTAAGAAAACAGTAGAGAAGTTTCTGAGCTCATGTAGATTCAATCTGAAGGCTAGGGATTTGTGAGGACCAGTCTCTTACTCAGAAAACCCTCTAGAACAAGCCATTCCCTTTCAGTGGCTACATCTCCTTTTTAAGTTCAGTATTTGTATGTATTGCAAAATAATCATCAAAATAAGTCTACTTAATAATCACCAAAATAAGTCTAGTGCTCTGTCATCACACTCAGTTATAATTTCTTAATTTCTTTCTTTCTTTCTTTCTTTCTTTCTTTCTTTCTTTCTTTCTTTCTTTCTTTCTTTCTTTCTTTCTTTCTTTCTTTCTTTCTTTCTTTCCTTCTTTCTTTCTTTCTTTCTTTCTTTCTTTCTTTCTTTCTTTCTTTCTTATTTTATTTTTTAAACATTTTTATGAGTAATAGTCATTTT